TTCAAGCTTGCTCCTCAGTTTTACATTAATTATTTTTCATATTCATTGACATGGAAGTAGTTGCTAATGAAAATAAACATTTGGTTGAGGGGGAAAACGCATAGACGATAACTCAGATGTTTTCTGAGCTTAAAGAGTGCTCAGTCATCTGGAAGGGAAAACAGGAAACGGAAAATGACAACAGCAAGGTTGAGAAGCTCAAAATGAACCCAGTGGGGGACCCGAATCAACGAGACTGTGACAAATCTTTCCATTTCCATTGCCCTGGGGACTGTGCAGATTCAGAAGACTTCTCACTTCTTCACTGGGACCTAAAGAGACTGCTCAGGGAGATGCCTGAAACAGTTGGTTTTGGGGGTTGGTCTTTAATTCCCTGGGCGTCTAATACGGATGTCCCAGTGGCTTGCTCAGACGTTTGTGCCTGTTCTTTTGATAGATGACTTGAATCTCTTCCTAAGAAGAGTGTTTTTCAGGGACCCAGTCCCCTCCCTCTGCTGTTTCTTCCCTTTCCTTTCCTAAGCAGCTATACCTACCCCCCGCCCCAAACCCTGGGACCTAAACTTTCAAGTCAGAGGTCCACTTTCTTTCTCAGAGGTTCACCTTCGACATGTCACTGAGAATGGAAGTACACAGAGATAGGTTGGTTTAAAGGTTTCCTGTAACGACCCTTGTAGGTAAACTGAGACACTTTTCGCGGAGGCCAGAGCTGGCCCTCAGAGCTGAGAACCCTTGAGTAACTACCACGGACTCCGTCACTCTTCTAAGACCCCCACACTACTGAGAGGGTCACAGGTATGGGCCTCTTACAGGCTCCCACTAGTACTTCCCTCAGGGACAGGAGAGAAGCTTTCCCTGGGAGAAACTTCGAGATTAGTGAACCCAGGCATGGTCCTAGAGGTGGCTAATTCGTCATCCTACCAGAATATACCAAAACACCAAGCTGTGAATTACTCATTCATGTTGTTCTAGCACAGATTTTTAAAAGCCCTATAGAGCCCTTTTCTATTATCATTTCTTTTTAAAGGAGCTTTATTGAGGCATAATTGACATTCAGTAAACTACACATATTTTAAAATATACAATTTGACAGGTTTAACGTTATATATATATATAATCTTTACACACACACACTATCACCACAATCAATAAACTTATCCATCACCCTAAAAAATTTTCTTGCACCCCTTTATAATCTATTCTCTCTTCCCATCTCCCACACCTCATCCCTGGTGACCACTGATCTTTTGGTCACCACAGATTAGTTTACGTTTTCTAGAATTTTATTTAAGTGGAGTCATTAGTATGTGCCCTTGTCAGTTTGAATAATTTTTAGAGATCTATCTTCAAGGTCACTGATTCTTTTGTAGTATTGAATCTGCTGTTAATCCCATCCAACAAAGTGTTTATTTCAGATTTTATATTTTTCAGTTTTAGAATTTCCATTTAGTTCTTTGATATTTCTCCTAAGATACATCATCTTGTCACCCATTACACCCATATTTTTCGATAGATTCTTTAACATACTTATAGTAAATAGTTTAAGTCCATATCTGCTAATTTTAACATTTAAATCATCCATTAATCATCTTCCAGTGACTTTTTTATTTGTTATGGGCTGCAGTTTCCTGCTTTTCAGGTCTAATAATTTTTTTTTCAAATCTTCACCCAAAGATATTTTTTTCATTGCTTTTCAGAGAGCATGGAAGGGAGGGAGAGAGAGAGAGAGAAACATCGATGTGAGAGAGAGACCTCGATTGGCTGCCTCCTGGGAGGATGCGCCTGACCGGGGCTGGGGGTCAAGGCTGCAGCCCAGGTACGTGCCCTTGGCTGGAATAGAACCTGGGACCCTTCTGTCCATGGGCCAACACTCTAGCCACTGAGCCAGACCAGCTAGGGTAGGTCTAATAATTTTTAATGAATACTGGTCAGTGTGGATGTAACGTTGTGGGGACTCTGGTTTCTGTTATTTTCTTCTGCAGAGTGTTGAGTTTGTTCTAGCAAGCAATTAAGTTGGCAGATCACCTCGATTATGTGGAGGCCTGGTTTAAAGCTTTATTAGGTCTGGTCTATTAACAGTTTTTTCTCTTAGTCCCATGGGATTTCAATAGAAAAATGAAATTGTTTGCCCAGCCCTTCTAACTTCGCAGAACTTGAATTCTAAACTCTGCCTCCCAGCACTGGGCTGCTGCTGAGGTTGCTGCTTGGCCTTTTTTAGCCTTCCAGCGGATGTTTTCTACTGGGCTCCTTGGAGTCTCACCTGTACATGCTCAGTTCAAAAATCAGCCAATGATTTGACGGCACTGTGTATGTAGATTCAGGGGCTTCCCTTTTTGTGTCTCCTTCCCAGGATCTCCTCCTCCAGTTCCCAGTTGCATTGGCAGCCTTGAACTCTGAGTTCTGTCTGATTCCTCAGCTCGATTAGGCTGCAGCTTTCTGCTTGAGCTTTATTCCTCTTGTACTGCTTGGAAGTGCTCACAAGGGAAAAACCAGTTAAGCATGGATCTCATCTACTCTCACTTTTTTCCAAGGGTCATATCTGCTCCAATTTTTGCCTGATTTTGGTTGTTCTCCAGTACCTTCAAACAGTCGTTTTTTTAATATCTTATCCAGAGTTTATCACCATTATTGACTAGAGGGTGAGTCCAATATAAATTAGCCCACCATTATAAGCAGCAGAACTCCTCAGTTCTATGGGCTCCCACTTGCTTCTCTCAGAAGGATTGTAGTAACGTACTGTTTGTGTTGCCAGCTTCAGATTTGGCTTTCTTGTGCCATGTGTTATCTCTCATTTATCTGCTTTCCACCATCCCTGATTCCGATGGTGGTTTCTCCTCTGGGTGTCAGAAGGGAGGGAAATTAACTGAGAAGGTGGCAGCTGGACGCCTTAAGAAAAGATTGCTTTCATTGCATTGCTTGTTAGAGTGCAGAATGCTGAAGTCCATGCACTTCAAGTGCTTGTGAACAGTCAAACCAATAGGGACCATTTATTTTGTAAAAACAGAGTGCGTGCTTATGAATCAGGGTAATATAGACAAAGGCAGCAAATGTAGATTAATGCATTTGACAATTCATAAACAAAACAGGAAACGATTTGGGCTACATTGGCCAGGAACGAGACCTGAGAATCCATGTAGATCTTTCCCTGGGGCCTCTGCCAGCGCTTCCACGCTGGGGGCCTCTGTGTTTGCAGCGTGTGGCTCTCATTCTGGCTTCAGGGAAATGCAGAGGGCCCGGGGAACTTCTGAGCAGTGGGGACTGAAGTGATAGCCTTACCAGGGCAGGTGATAAGCACTGGGATTCTTTAGCCTGGACTGCAGAGAGGTGACATATCTCGATGTAAAACCATGGCCAATGTGGAGAAGGCAGGTCTGAATCTGGGTGCCAGGTCCCGAGCTGCTGTGGGGAGAGGGTTGCTTTTGAAGTGAGCAGGTAAGTTTAGTACAAATAGATAAAAGCACAATTTACCATGGCAGACCAGTCCCTCGGGAAACTTATTACAGGTGGCTTTTCTGGCAGATGGCTTAATTCCATTGTGGTTTGGACAAACAAATGAATGACAGAAGCCTGCCCCCCCTAAAAAAAAAGAGTCATCTGAGACATGATGACACGTATGTAACCCTTAATTTATACACCAGAGAGGACAGGGTGCCCTTACTGGCTGGCTGGAGAAGGGGCAGCTTGGTGCAGCAGGGAAAAGTTGACCTGAATTAAGATCTGGGTTCAGATCTTGACTCCTCAACTTAATCGCTGTGTGACCTTGAGCAAGTTCCTAACCTTTCTCAGCCAGACGACGTTCTGGTGAAAGTTAAATAAGTCCGTCATATAATCTACAGTCGGCTCAATAAAGCAAAGGTTAGCCTGAGTCCTAAACTGAATAGTCTGGGTTTGTATTGAACACATATTTGCTGAGCCCTGTCAAATACCAGGCTGTGTACATATATCTCCCCTATTCTAGAAAGGCTCATGAAGTGAAGGCGCAGCTCTGCTCCATCCTGCAGACCTTCCTCAGGAGGGCGGGAGGCTGTGAAGGTGAGCGTCCCTTGTCCTCTGCTCTTGCAGGTGGCCCGCATGGTGAGAGAGCATCCGAGTGCCACCGTGGCAGGACCACCTGATCCCATCTCAGCAGACAACCCCCACTTCCTTCCTCCACATTTTCCTAATAACCGAGCCAAAGGTTTCACAACCCACTTACAGTACCAGATGGTGATGATTGGTTTTTATCCAGTTCTGCTTTTCATTTACTCATTTCTACTGAGAGTCTTGGGTGCCCAGCTCTGGGGCAGGAGAGTTGAAGGTCTCTAGGGGAGGTGGAGGGGTGAGAACGAGGGACACTAGGGCGTTTAGGTTTGTTCCCCTCCTACGAGAAACTGTGTTACTGGCACCTGAGTGCCCACATCATTATGATTAACTATGCTTACCTCAGATCCCGTGGTGCCTCCTCTGCCAGCGGTGTTCCCTGTCCCTTAGCCTCTGGTCACAGAGGGTCCATGACGTCAGTCTGATAAGCATGGGCGCACTTGCCAGGTGAGCTGTAGCACCTGCCAGGGGTGACTAAAGCTGCCCATCCAAAGCCCAGTTGTGTTGTTTTTTTAAAATATCTTTATTGATTTCAGAGAGAGGAAAGGAGAGGGAGAGAGAGCGAAACATCAATGATGAGAGAGCCATTGATCGAGCCCGCAAGCCGGGCATGTGCCCTGACCGGGAATCGAACCCCGACCGCCCGGATCCCAGGTCGACGCTCCACCGCTGAGCCACGCCCGGCTGGGCCAGAGCTCAGTTTTTAAGACACTTCAGTATTATCCACATATTTTCTTGGCCTCGGTTGAAGTTTCCTTTGGTCCAGCCTTGAACTACATTGTGAGCTTTTATTTGAGTTCATGCCCAGACTCCTTTCCTCGAAGGCTGTGACGTTGGTGGGAGGGCTGACTCCATCCCTCCTCTCACTTTGCCTCCGCCGTTGGCACTCATTTAACTTCGACCCTCTTCCTTCCTTTTTCCAGAACTCACGTGCTGCGGGTCAGACTGAGCTACCCCGTTTCATCCTATAACCCAAGACTTGCTGCTCTGCCCTGCTCGCGCTCACGGCTGTGCCGGGAAGGCCGCGGCCCCGCGCAGTGCGTTCCCGTGGGAGGTCTCCGCGTGGCCCCGTCGGAGGCCCCAGGGGCAGGGGAAGGGCCTGTGGCAGTGCGCGTCCCCACAGCCGAGCCTCCGTGTGTGAGTCCGTGTCACCTCGCTTTCCCCAAGAGCCCCCGCTGGCCCAGCGAGACCGGCCTGAGACCTGCCTGAGAAGGAAGGGGATGGGGAGCCACCCCGCCACGGCCTCCTCTGCGCCCCGCATGCGCCAGCTCCGCTCCGTCGCAAGCTGAGTGACTGTGTACAGGACGGACTTGGCACCTTTCTGATTGGAGTTTTCTTAGCAGATCTGCCAGTGTTTACGCAGTTCGCAGTATTTCCCGTCCTTGATGTTACCGTCACTGGCTTTTTCTCAGTCGGCTTCATAGTTATTTTTGTTAATGGGTAATTTTCCTCTTTACCTCCTGCATTGTATATTTGACCCCCTTCCCTACCCCTACAAGGTACAGAATTACCCGAGGTCCTGACAAAAGATAAGAGAGCCGTCTTTGGGAAGCCTGGGAACTCTTCATACTGTCTGTATTTTGTCATTGAAGAGAGGTGGGTGCTCTGCTCGGTTCTGCTTGGTCCCAGACAGCTCCCCCAGGAGCAGTGTTCAAACCGAGCCAAGCGCGTGTGTCACCGGGACAAGCCGCCTGCGTTCTGTCCTGTCCCTTACGGCCAGCCCGCCGACGGGGAATGGCAGCCAGGCTGCTCCTTCAGCAAGTTACAGATCACCCGGGTCTGTTTAAGCAGATGGAAGCTATTTGACCAGGGAAGGCGAAGTGAGCGAGCTGTGTCTGCAGGTGAGCCTGTGAATCAGCCCCTGAGCCCCCGCCCTTCCAGCCCCAAACATTTCTGTGAGCACCTGTGCCTGGGGCCTGGGAGACCTGCCTGCAGCCTGGCTTCCACTGGCGTGGGCTCCTCCTGTCCGCGCTCAGCACCAGTCCTCATGGCTCTGTGCACACAGCTGCAGGGGCCACAGCTTAGTGCCCATTGGCTCCCCGGCAAATGTGAGTCTGACCACTCCCCTGCCCTCCATTTGCAGGGACAAGCTACAGGGCACCGGGTCACAGTACCAGGAGAGACAGCTGGCGTCTGGCCTCCCAGCCGTCCCTGGGGTCTGCACTGGGCGGCAGCGGATAGTAGGGGCCCCGAACAGCCAGGTGGCTGCAGGACAGAGTGGCTGCAGTTGAGCTGGCCCCTAGCCCCCCAGCCCCCAGGCAGAGTGAGGTGTCACTGGAATGGCCGTGACTCTCTCCATGCCCAGACCCTCAGGGCTGGGTTCCACCCCGCAGAGAGGACGTGATGTATGCTGGCCGGAGGCAAGGCTCAGAGCTCGAGCTGCCTTTCGCTTTCTGGTTTGCAGTCACGGTGGCTTCTCTCCTGAGGAGGAGTCGGTTCTCATCTTGGGCTTTTGCGGGGCTGACCCAGGGACGATGTCGCCCCTGCCAGTTCTTGGAGCTATTCTGGGTCTTGGCTTGGGGCCCCGCGGGTGGGCCTGTGTCGGAGGAGCTCGGTGAGCCAGTGGCGGCGGCAGGCATTGCCCTCAGGCTCCCAAGAGAAGCCCCAGAGAGGGGGCAACTGCCCCTTCACATCACATGCCACGGGGTGTGCGCTTCTCAGCAGAGGGATGAGGGAGAGCCGTCTCTGCCCCCGCCCGGACTCGTTGCTGCACAGGGACAGCGGAGAGCTCCCCCCTCACCCACGTGAAACGGGGCCTCCGATTAGAGAAGCAGTTGGCTGCCCGGTCCGCCGCCAGTGTCCTTCTCTCTGCCCCTTGGGGGAGCCCTCGTGGCCGGGCCCAGGAGATGTGGAGCCTGGGGCCGGGCTGGGTCTGAAGGAAGAACAGGGAGGCCCACCCCAGTGCTGGCCAGTTTAGCTCTGGGACAGGCGCGGCTCGGCTTGAGCCACATGTGCTAAGAAAGCTCTTCCGCACCGGAAGCTGGAGCTGGCTCTGCAGCCCTGCCCTCCACGAACAGGATGTTGACTGAGGTCTCATGCTCTCAGTTCACCTCTGGAAAGTCCCTCCCCAGCGAGCACTCCAGGGAGTCGGAGGGACGCCGAGGAGCCTCTGACGTCGGCCTTGGCTGTTCTGAGCACTAGGTGCTGAGAGGGTGTCCCGCGGCGTCACCATTGTGTGGGTGGTGTGTCACCGCTGTGCAGTGAGTCTGTCCGCATGGCCTGCAGCCGACATGCGCAGCGGGTGCCGTGCTGAGCCTGGTCTGTGCTCCACTGGATGAGATCCCAGAAGCTCTGCGAGCCACCTTCCCTTTCCTTCGCCATCATCACCCCCAAACTCCCGATTTCCTGTCACAGAGGGTGCCTCTCAAGCCCATCTTGCCCACAGCCCAGTTTCTGTGTCAGTATCCAACCTGAAAAAAAGAAGCAAGTCTAAGTTTAAAATGGGGGTTTTAATCCAGGTAATTGTTTAGCACAGAAACAAGGAAAGCTGAGAGGCCAAATGGGAGCGAGGAGCAAGCCAGAGATGAGTTGCAGGCTGATGGGACGGGGGCGAGGCCATGTTACTAGAGCCTGGGGCGCAGGGACGCTGGGAGGAACCCGGGACCACAGAGGGCCGATCGATCGGTGGGAGCTGCAGCCACGAGGAGGCGTGGTCCTTGTCAGAAACACTCCCGCGGGCAGAGGGGGGAGAAATGGCCTGCTTCTCCCTGGCTTGTGCCTTCCAGATTTCTGCAGGTGCCTCCTGTTAGCTGCAGCCAGCTGGGAGCCAGCTGACCTGGGGGCCTGGGACAGGCCACCTGCAGGGCGGAGCAGCGAGGGCAAGGGGGGCGTGCGTCCCCTTGGCCCGCTCTGGGTCATGCCCCAGGCGGTGTTCATGCCCCATGCTGTCCTCTAGGCTCTTTTCCACTCTACCTAGAGAGGAAAGTGCTTTTGAGAGGGAGGGCAAAAGCCTTTATTCTTAACAGTTGTCCCTGATTTCCTTTGGGGGAGTTTAACCATATAGCAGCCGCACCTCACCACGCCCCTCGGGAAAGCTGTGCCCAGTTATCTGTCCACCCCTCCCCATTTCCCCCCAATCTCTGGTTTCTGCTGCCGGAGAATGGTGACCCAGACCAGGCATCAGTGGTCATGAGTGTTCCCCAGGACGGTTCAGGCAGAGAGTAACATACAGTGCGCACCGTCTGTCATCTCCTAACCAATTTGTATTGTACTTCCAATAAACTTCTGGAAGTTATGCCTGGTTGTATGCTGTCCTTTGCTGGGACAGTGGCTCAGCGGCCAGGCTGGGTGCACACAGCCCCCAGCCCTCAGCACCAGGTGCTCCTGGTCTCAGGTGCTGATCTCCCGCATGGGGTGTTGGGGAGTCACGGGCCAGGCCAGTGGGTCTGACGTCCCCCGTGGCCACATCCGTACCCTCAGAGGCCTTCCCCCAGGGTTTACATTTTCTTCTGTTGTCTAAGTCAGCTGGAGGTTTTGTGAGGCCAGGTCACGCTGATAGGTGGCCTTCGGCCCTGTGTCCCCCAGGCCTGGAGGTGTGAGGGGCCACTTTTCCCCACCAGCCACTTTGCCCTGCTCTGCTGAGTGCCGGTCACGGGGGGTGTTCTGGGGAAGGCTCCTGGGCAAGCAAAGTGGACGCAGGAGCTGCATATTCCACAGGCGAAGCCCAGCACCCTCATGCCATCCTCCTCAGGCCTGAAAGTCAGAAATAAAAATGTAGTTGATTTAAAAGGTAAAGGGAGCCAGATCCAAATGCCCGGCATTCTCCCCTTCCCCAGGCCAGGTGCTGGCGCCGGCCTGGTAGACATTCTCTATCTAGTATGTGTCTTACTTTCCAGCCTGTTTGACTCAGTGTAGACTCTGCCTCAGCTGCTGTGCTGGGGCCATGCAGGCTCACCTGGGACCATTCCAGCCCATGTCCGTGAAGCATGCCTGTCTGTGACTTGTTTGCTGGCATTTGTGAGAGGCGAGAGACTGCAAGATAGAGGTACAGGGATGGGAAGAGGGGGGGAGGAGAGAGGAAGGAAGAGAGAGAGAGACAGAGAGACCAAGTTTCTTTCAGGGGTTTCCCTGGAGAAGCAAGACGTACACATGGGAGGTTACTGGAGAAGAGAGAGGTTGGAACTAAGGCTGTGCCAGGACTTGGAGGAGTTCTGGGAAAGAGGGCTCAGTAAGGCTGGACTGGAGGCCAGGGAAGGCTCTGTGGAAGGAGAGGGAGCCCTCAAGTTCGAACACAGCAGCCCTACCTCCATGGGACCCTTAATGTGCCCCATGTTCTTGGTATCTTTTTATTAAGACTTTTTATTCTGACTCAAATATCTTCTTCTTTCTGGAAGCTGATCTGTAGACCTCAGAGTGCCCCGTGCCCTACCCCCTCGGTGTGCCAGCCTTAAGTTGGTACATTGCCGACTGGGTTTTTATGGTCAGGCTTCCTCAAGAGGCTTCGTCTGGCTAAGTTGGACCTTCCACTTGTTCTGATCCTGCTCCTAAACTGCAGGGGTCGCTAGAGGAAGCCCTGCACCCTGCAGGGGCTGGGGCTGCCCGGGCCGCGGGTGCCTGGCTCACCAGGTGGCTTTGGGCTGCTTGCGTCGTGGCCTTTTTGTATGTTCTTCAGGAGCTTTTCTTATTTTCAGAGCCAGCCATTTGTCGCTCCCTAAGCGCTCACCCGCTGAGAGCTTAGCCTTCTCAGAATCCCTTCGCCTGTCTTCCCCTCCACCCCAAGACTGACTACATAACAGTGCCTTTCCAGCAACCCAAGGAGGCACCCCCTGGCCTCTAGAGGACCCTTCTGGCACCCACATGCTGAACCCATTCCCCCCGACCCACCCTTGCAGTAGAATGTCCTGACTCGGACCAGGCTGCCACGTCCTAGGTGTATGACCTACCTTGGGCAAGTTATACAACCTCTCTGTGCCTCAGTTTTTCATCTGTAAGAAGAGAGAATAGTATCTACCATAGAGGACTAAATAAATTGTAAAGTGCTTACTTAGTACAGGGCCTGGGACAGAGTGTTTACTGTTCTAGCATCA